TTAAGAGCTTTAGAAAGATATGATGAAGCTTTAATCCTATTTGAAAAGGCATTAAAAGTTAATATTAAACATTTTAATTCCCTCTTTGGAAAAGCAGATTGTTTAAGAATGTTAGGAATGTTGGAAGAATCATTAAAATATTATAATTTTGCTTTGAAAGAAAATTAAAAAGATTTTACATGTTTGAAATTTAAAGCAGTTATTATGGAAGAAATAGGTTTAGAAGATTTCTTATAATGTTATAAAATTGCTGCATAAATTGATCCAAATGATGAGTACATTTAAACAAAAATAAATTTATATTCATAATGACATTAATTTTATTATTATTAATCTTATAAATTTAGTATTGTAATTATTATCAATTAAACGATTTTCATAAAATGCAATATTAACTCTTAATTAATTTACATAATTATGAGAAATAGAAAAGCCATCAATGATATTTCTAAAGAAAACCAATCTCAGTCACATAAATCTGTTTAAAATTGGTTGGAACATGCTTATTAATAAAATGCTTTAAAATTAAAAAAGTTTTAATCATAAGATTTTTCTAAAATCAATTCATAAAATGAAGAAATTGATCCTAACAATTGTTCAAAATTGTAACAATCTAAACGAATCATAACAGATTAATATTAAGAATAATAAAGCAATCCAATAAGCAATTAAATATAAGATTAAGATTCTATTTATAAAAATTCTGATTAATTATCAGATTTTGGAGATAAGAATGAATAAAAATCTGAAGTTTAATACAATAATGAAAAAATAAAAGAAAAAATACATAGAAAAAAAATGAAATAAGATTAAGTTATAATAGAATAGAATGATAATATTTTAAGTTTAGAAAAAAATAAGGTTTAAGAAGATTTAAATAAGTATATACAGATAGAAAAAGACATAATTCAGTATTTGGTTAAGGTTCACAATAAAGTTGAGGAACTGACAAAATAATTTTAAAGCTTTAAATGAAATTTAATGTATTTATAATGAGATAAAATTTGAAATGATAATATATTGATCATTAATATTTACAGGATTATCACATTTAACACTAAATGATCAAGACCATTAAGATAAAAAATGATAAATGCAGCCCATAATTTGAAATTTTTGAAGTGATCAAAGCATAATAGTTGACAGTTGAGAAACTTTAGATTATCAACCAAGATTTAATTATGGGATTTTCAAAATCTGAACAACATATGAAAATTTGGAGTGTTTCAAAGAGATAAGCTGTTTTTGAACATTTTTTTGATTAAAGAAAAAAAGCCAATGAATTGTTGATTATATAAAATTTAAATGATTTGGTAGCATATAGTTTTTCAGATAAATAGGTTTATATTTGGAATGTAGAATTTAAAAATGGATTCTCTTTATTGTATGAATTAAGTTATGAATAATAGATATAGAAAATAAAATTATCTTATAATCCTTTTTTACTAGGAATATTATATAATGATTAAAAAATTAGATAATTAAAAAAAGATTAATAAGAATCAAATTTTGTTTATTAATAATATTAGATTGAAGATTATAGTTTTTTTTAAAAACTAAATTTTTTAGCTATTATGTCTAAAAAAGGATTTGTGTATATATTTTCAATTAACTCTAAAAAATATATTAAACAATGGAATGCTCATTAACGTGGTTAATGTTCTATTGATGGTATTGATAAAGATTAATTAATTGTAACTCAAGCAAAAGATTACTCTATCAAAATTTGGCACATGAGAACTTATCATTTATTAAAAGTTATAGATTCAAGAAAAATGTTAATATCTTAATATGATAAATATAATTATACTTTATTGATGTCTACATTTAAGCCATCATTAGATATAATTAGTTTAAGAACTAGTAAATTAATTTAAAGTTTAGAAGTTGATTATCCAATTCTCAAAATAGAAATTGAATCTGAAAGTAAACTAATTGCAATTTTAGACTATGATTTTCAGATAATTTTATTAAGAAATAAATAATATTGAAATATCTTATTATTTTATATTTATATTTGAAAAATAATCTTCCATATAGAAGTGTAAATATGAAAGGATTAAATTAAATTTAAACTGATTTAAGCCTATAAAAATTACATTTTTAATAACTATTCAAATGCTTAACTTAAAAATCCTAAAATAAATAAGTCTTAAAACAAATTAATCAAATTTAGAAAAAGAGCAAAAATTGGAAACTTAATTAAAAAAATTTACTTACAAATATATCTAAGTAATTCAAAAAAAGCTTAATATATAATCACGATGTTTAAATGTATAAAAAATTGATAAACCTAAGATTAATAATATTTAATTTTTAAAGATAAATCTATAAATAAATAAAATTGAAGACTTAAAAACTATAGTAAGACATTTTAAAAATAAATGTCTCTATAGTTTATTCATTTTGGAAAATAAACTAATGAAGCATGTGATAGAAATTAGATTGTATAAAATTTTATTAATTTAATTGTGCAAGAATACTAATAAGTGATACTAATCTTTTGAAAGGATGAGATAAAATTGTCACTTCCATAAAAAATATTAAAATGATTAGATAATCAAATAAGAATGAATAGTTTGATAATAGACTTAATAATAATAAATTATTTTTTCATGCAAGTTTTCGCTTAGGAATTGTATTCTAAATAGAATCAACCCAATCTTCTCCATTATTACGTCTTAACAAAATTTCGAATACCTAATTTACAGTTAATATTGATGATGTTTTCAAATTTAAATTTATTGGTAACTTTTTTGTATTGATGCCTTGTTCTAATGCTTTATTATATGTAATTAATTTTAATCTATTATGATCAACTAATCCACCAATAATATACACTTCATCTTATTTTAGATCTTCAATAACATTATCTGTGTCACCTGTTAAATAAACTAATTCTTCTTTTTTATATAAGTCAATATAAGGTTTTTCATTTAATTCAATACCCCAATTTACAGCATTACTCTTATCTAATAATAACTTAAAATCTTCTGTTAAGGATGTAACAATTAGATTTAAAGGTTTTTGAGATTTAAAATTTATTGAATGACAAAGTTCAATTTATTTGTATAAAGAAGTTTTTTCTTAAATGGTCATTTAATTCATAAATTGTAAATCAATAATAACTTTTATACTATTCTTCATTTCTTACTAATATTAATCTCTAGGTTTTTTATGCTATTTTTCTTGATTAGGTTATTTATTATCTTAATCTTAATTAGATTTTTATTCTTATTTTTATTATTTTTTAATTTGTTTTTTGAGAATTTTCTTTTCTTTAAAATACTCTTTTTATTTTTGTTTCTTAGCTAATTTTTTCTATTACTTTTTTGATAATTTATTTTCTTCTTATAATTAATCCATTTTAATAAAAATAATTATATTTTTAATTGTGTTTATAAATTTATAATGAATTAATTCATTTTCTTAAATAAATTAATGAAAACAATCCATCTAAAAAATATTCATAAAATAAAATAATATTTTAATATACTAATTTAAATAATGCCTAGATTCTTTGATCCTTCTAAGAGTGACCCTACAGTAATAGCAATAAATTGGATTGATTAAATTTTATCAGAAAAATTAAAAACCTTATCCCATGAAGAAATAGAAAAATATATAAAAAGATTTTAGCAAGAAAGATTATTCACTAATTACAAAAACAAAGAAATAATTATAAGGTATAATGATTATGAACTAAAGCAATAAATGTTCTAGAGGAAATATTTATTTGGATTATGATAATATATAGAATAAATATTTTCCTGTTTTCAATAATGGAAATTAGATTGTCATTTGTTAAAATATGATTTAAAATAGTGTATAATTATTAGAAAATTTAATTCGAGAATTTGAATTATCAGAAAAGAAAATTGAATAATAAGGATGCAAATACGTTTCAGCTTGTAGTTAAGCTTATAAAATTTACAAATTTCCTTTTGAAAAACAAAAACAATTAAGTGATATATGTGCAAAAATTTTAATGAGAGTATTAAATTATATAATCATTAGCATAGAGGAGAAAACAAAGAATAATTACCATTAGATCAATGGGTTAGATATATAGATAGAGAAGTGAAATCTTAATAATGCTATAATATTTGATTATTATTATTATTATTGTCACTCTAGAGTCTCTAAAGACTTTTCATTAACTCTATCTTCTCTCTCAATATAATTGATTATCCGAGCTAATTAATTTAACAACTTGAGCTAAATTGTTTTATTTATCAATATTATTTAATCATCGACTTTTTTTCCAAGCCTCTATTAATTATTCTAATATTTAATAATCTAAATTTCGATAATATTTCTAAACTTTTAATAAATCTGTTGCCAAATAAGTTTAAATTTATCATTATTTTTCAAAATCTGTAAGAACTTACATTAGCAAATTTTTTACAAAGTTGAGAAAATATAAGAATAATTTATTTTTTCAAAATGATCTGATACATTCTTATTAAGTTAATAAATTTTTATTGTCGAATAGCAAACTTAAAAATTTTTCAGTTAAACAAATTAATTATAAAATCTATCTTAAGAATTATTTTGAATTTAATCATTTTTTTCTATGAAAAATTTATTTAGTAATATATTACTAATTTGATTTTATCTGGAGAACATTTGTTTAAAATTAATCTTTTAATAATTTTTCAATTTGACTCCACCAAGTATTCTAGTTCTTGATAAAAAACATTAAATAATTTTTAATATAAATACTAATTCAGGTTTTGAAAATTTAACATTTTTTAGTTAGTAATTAAAATACTAATTATTTCTAATCTCAAAATTTTGATCTAATTAATTTAAATTCAATATGGTCGATTAACAATAAATTAATACTTAAATGAAATTTAGTAATAATTTCTAATTCATATTATTTATTAGCTTTATTTAATTAAGCATTTCAATTGAGGATTCTTTTTTCTGTATTTAACAATTTCATGACTCAAAACAAGCTTATCAAAATTTAAAAAGATCTTATTCCTTAATAAAAAGTAAAGAAACGATCCTTATAAGTTAATGATGATCATACAAATGTAATGAAAAATACCTTAACAAAATTTAAAATAAATTTTCTTGAAAAATAAAAGGATTATATAAAATTTAAAGTATTTATTAATGCTAATAACGTTTAGATCTGTAAATATTTAAATAGCTAATCTTAAAAGATGTTCTTAAGTGAGATGGCTTGATTGTCTTAAAATTTATAGGTCTAACTTAAATATATAATAAGATTATTATTCTTTATAGAGATATAAAAATATATATAGCTTTTGTCATTCAGATAGCATTATTCTAACGTAATTATTTATACTTCATTGACGTTCTATATTATTTTAATTGTTTTTTTATCTCATTTATTTTAATAATTATCTTTCTACATTTATTACTTTATTACCCAATTTTTTTATTATTTATCATAGTTTTAAAGAGCAGGATTTTAATGAGTAAATTTTATATAATAAAGTACAAATTAATGCTCGGATTTCGATAATTATCATCTAAATACACTCATTCTGTCAAAAAGCTTATTGTCAACAGCTTCAATCTCTTTGGAGTATAACCAAAATTAACAATCACAAAAGCTAAATCAGTAAACACATTCTTGGGATCAACATTTACAATTTTGTTATTAATAATGATAATTGCTTTACTTCTTTATGATTTAAATGAATTTACTTAAAGAGAGCAACCAAGAGTTATAATATCTGAAAATGAAATAGACACAAATAGAGTATCTTTATTTTTAATATCTTATTAAGGAGTACTCTCTTGATTAATCTAATTTCACATTAGCCTTAGCTATTTATAATAAAGATTTTATACCTATAGAACAAATGGAGAGATATTTTACATTATCAATTCAATTCTGTAAAAAAACCAAAAATACAGATCAAAATTTAACTTATTTGAAGTAAACTTTTATTAAAGATTAGATAGTTGTACTAATATAGAAACAGTCCCATGTCAAGAAAATAATTTTTAGAATAAAGACTATTAAAAATATTTTGTAGGAACTAATCTTAGTAATTTCATGTGTATAAAAAATAATTAGTTTGATATTCACAAACCAGTATATTTAAATAACTATATATTTAGAGTTTTTAAGGATTAAAACAATCAGATATATACAATTATTTTACTATCAAACTATCTATTTGTAGAAATACCACTGATCAGCAAGATTGCTTTTCTGAAGAAAATATTAAAATTTAACTCTTTCAAACTTATTATACTTACTATCTTATTGATAATCTATTACAGTTAGATAATTCTTAAAATTTAACTTAATCAATATTAAGAAAACATCATCTCTAAATTTATAATAACCATTTAAGATAAATTAAGTAATAATATATGATATATGAAAATGTTGTCGATAAAGCATTTATTTATACATAAAATGAATATCATCATTATTTACAATTATAAGAGTAAAAGGAATTATTAATTTTCGATCCTTCTAATTTATTAGTAGATTAAGAAATCGATCTCAATTATAAATAAACTAAACTTATTATCTCTTATATGAAAGTCTCAACATTCTTGAGTAAATTTGGAGGATATATCATTATTATTTACATCTTTTTTAATATTTTATTACAGCCAATAAATAAACTATTTTATTTGATTCATTTAAGTAATAAAATCTTTCGTTTTAAGATATTACAAAATGATTTTAATTTATGTTAATAAGGTAATGATTAAATAGTACAAAATTCAGCCTATTATTAAAATATAGAAAGTCCTAATTCTTATTGTTTGGTAAATGTAAATGAAAATCTGATACTTCAAAATTCTAGGATTTTTACTTATTTATAAAATCTAAAAAATAGTCTAAAACTAACTTGGGGTTAAATTATAACAATTTTGCTTGGATGTAGTAAAGATTAAAAAAATTAATTGAAATAAGCAGAAATTAAATTAAATTAGAAAATTGATGTGACCTTTTTAATAAAGAAATTAATGGAATTAGAAAAATTAAAATATATTCTTCTTAATGATGATCAATTAAATTTATTTAATAGTGCTTAAAAACCAATATTATTTTTTGATGAAAAGAATTATAATAACTAAAAGTAATATTTTGATGAAGATTCAAAACTCACAAAAATTTAAAAGGGTTTTAAGTCATATGTTAGTCTTTAATAAAAATCATAAAAAGGAGCAACAGATTTAAAACTTTTATCTTTGCTAGATAATGATATAATAAATCTATATGAATAATTATATCGAGATATCACTTTTAAATCATTTTTCTAAAATATAACATTAAAAGAGTCTAAAACATTAAAATCGAAAAAAAATTCAAAAGGAGGTTCTCCAGATTAATAGATGCACAAACATGTTAAATTATAGACCAATGCTGATTAGTGAATAAATTATAAATTTAATATTATAAATAGTAATAACTAATTAAATAATCGTTGTCGGCCATACTAAGCCTAAAGCACCGGATCCCATTCGAACTCCGAAGTTAAGCGGCTTAAGGCGAGGTTAGTACTAAGGTGGGGGACCGCTTGGGAAGTCCTCGTGTTGACAACCCTTTTTTTTATTTTTTAATTAAATTGAATTAAATATAGGAAATAATTAAATTTTTGTTCATATAATTTTTACCATTTTAAATAAAAAAATAATAAATCTATTTCCTTAACATTAATTTTAACTGTCCTACTACTTAGTTTTTGATATTTAGTATTATAATAATCTATTGTTCCTTTTTTCTATTCATTAATATTCTACAAACAATTATAAATATTTAATACATTATCAATTTACTATTATTCAATTTATTATTTTAGTTTCCGAAAATTAGGATTTGCTTCTTCTAGATTAATAGGTGTACCATTTAAGTTTTTTAATAACTGAAGTTCTTAAATGAATTTAATTCGATATCTATTGAATTATGATTTTATATACTTAATATATTCCTCTTCTCCTTAAGTAAACTTAGAACACATGGGATTTTTTATTAAACTGAGATGTTTTAACTTAGGAAAATTTCTTAGCATTGTTCTATGAACCTTAGATAAAATATTAAATTACATATCAAAATTATTGAATGAATTTTTATTTGCACTAAAAGTAATCAAATTAGGTAATATAGGAAAATCATCTAATCTAAAAAAAATAATTATTATCAATAATTAAAGTCTCCAAATTAGGAAACATATGAAAATCTTTTCCTAAAATTAATAGATTACTCTAAAGTTATAAAAAGGTTTTACCAAAATATCTAAATGCTTAATATTTGATTAAGACTCTTGAGTATGTTCAGATAAGTCTTTTAATTTCTATCCAGTAAAGATTAACATTTTATAATGTAATATTAATTATTTAAATATATATATATAAAGTTTCAGTCTTTTTTACCTAGAAAATTGATTTATGTAATTTGAAGACTATTGAATTAACTTGTAGGAGGACTAAGTTTACCTCTTTTACTTGATTTGATAGAATCATTTTCATAGAATTTATCTTCTTATTCCCAATTACTTATCTTTTCATCTGAAATCAATATCACAGGTTGATTAGATAATTATTGATGTGTAAATTAAAAAGGTTCTAGATGAAAACAAAACTTTTTAATAGATAAATAGATCATAGCCAAAATAGAAAAGCAATGATAAAAATTTTCCATGATCATAGCAGGCAAATNCTAAGGTGGGGGACCGCTTGGGAAGTCCTCGTGTTGACAACCCTTTTTTTTATTTTTTAATTAAATTGAATTAAATATAGGAAATAATTAAATTTTTGTTCATATAATTTTTACCATTTTAAATAAAAAAATAATAAATCTATTTCCTTAACATTAATTTTAACTGTCCTACTACTTAGTTTTTGATATTTAGTATTATAATAATCTATTGTTCCTTTTTTCTATTCATTAATATTCTACAAACAATTATAAATATTTAATACATTATCAATTTACTATTATTCAATTTATTATTTTAGTTTCCGAAAATTAGGATTTGCTTCTTCTAGATTAATAGGTGTACCATTTAAGTTTTTTAATAACTGAAGTTCTTAAATGAATTTAATTCGATATCTATTGAATTATGATTTTATATACTTAATATATTCCTCTTCTCCTTAAGTAAACTTAGAACACATGGGATTTTTTATTAAACTGAGATGTTTTAACTTAGGAAAATTTCTTAGCATTGTTCTATGAACCTTAGATAAAATATTAAATTACATATCAAAATTATTGAATGAATTTTTATTTGCACTAAAAGTAATCAAATTAGGTAATATAGGAAAATCATCTAATCTAAAAAAAATAATTATTATCAATAATTAAAGTCTCCAAATTAGGAAACATATGAAAATCTTTTCCTAAAATTAATAGATTACTCTAAAGTTATAAAAAGGTTTTACCAAAATATCTAAATGCTTAATATTTGATTAAGACTCTTGAGTATGTTCAGATAAGTCTTTTAATTTCTATCCAGTAAAGATTAACATTTTATAATGTAATATTAATTATTTAAATATATATATATAAAGTTTCAGTCTTTTTTACCTAGAAAATTGATTTATGTAATTTGAAGACTATTGAATTAACTTGTAGGAGGACTAAGTTTACCTCTTTTACTTGATTTGATAGAATCATTTTCATAGAATTTATCTTCTTATTCCCAATTACTTATCTTTTCATCTGAAATCAATATCACAGGTTGATTAGATAATTATTGATGTGTAAATTAAAAAGGTTCTAGATGAAAACAAAACTTTTTAATAGATAAATAGATCATAGCCAAAATAGAAAAGCAATGATAAAAATTTTCCATGATCATAGCAGGCAAATAGGATTGAAAAGTTTAGGTTACAGTAACTAATACTTGTAATAAATGTACAAGGATTAATAATAGATAATAAATGACTTTAAGAAATTTTCTATTAATTTTGGAATGATTTACTTCAAAGTTTTCCATGTTTTCTTTTTCATTTAAATTTTAAGACAAGAATGCATTATTATAATAATGGCAAAAACCGAAATCATTCCCCAATCAAAAAAGTTTAAAATTTGTAGACTCTCTTAAAGAGTTATCAATTTATTTCTTGGTTAACAGAGTACAAAATCAAAAACATATAAAGGCATTGATAATACTACAAAAACTGAGCCAAAGATTACTAAATTAAACAGAGGGATTTTTGATTTAGTAGGTAATGTATTTGTAAATTCTTAGTAATTTAAACTCAATAATCCAATTTTACCTAAGATATAGAATAATTGATTAGCATAAATAAATAAATTTTCTATGCCTTCTAATTTACACACACTTTAAGAATACCTTATTATTTCAATAGTTTAAAGTACGATATTACTTAAAATTATAATAGTAATATAAGTAAACAATAATTTCCAACTACAATCTATTCTTTAATCTCTAAAATAAAATTTGAAATTCATATTTTATTAATATTTAATTTCAGGAATAGGTAGAGATGATTGAGTTAATTAACGAGATATTTGCTTTTTCTTCTTTTTCTTTTTAAACCTCTTTTTTTATTATTTTTACTAAATCGGTTCTGTTTATTTATTTTCTTCTTGTATTTGGAATAAAAACTACTTAGCTGAATTGATTGATACATCTTTATTAACTTTTTTATAATGAGGATGATCTACATCAATTTAAGGAGAACAACTATTATTAATGGATTGGTCTGATAATTCATTGATAGTAGATAGCTATCTTTTCAAAGTGATTGGTATTCTAATGATCTTGAAGTATGTACTTTTTGATTCTTTCTAATCTTTCCATTTCTTTTTACTTTAATTATTATTTGTCTAATTATTCTTCATAGATCTCTTACAATTCTGATTATTCTTATTGTTTTTCTACTTCTATAACAATAAATTCATTTGGACTCTACTTAATAGATTAGCTTACTTTATTTTCTCTATCTTCAAATTATTATTGATGTTAATCAATGTCTATAATAGGTTCTTTTGAATTGATTTCAGTAATAATCATAATATTTTATTTAATTTATGAAGTACTCAATATAGAGTAAATACATACTTTACAAAGATCAATTAATAAGTGGATATGTATGTATAGAAGGTGAGTTTATCAAATATATATTACATGAACCAAATGAATTATTAAATGAATACCCTATTAAATATGTCTATGAAAATCAAGTGCTTATGGCAGCAGCTATAGATACTAATGTATCATTAAGTATGTGGAATCATATTGAAGAATTTACTAAGTAAGAACTTTACACTAAAAGATTGGCAATTGTT